CAGCCGAAATTGTCATATTAACACTTCTCTATCACTCAATGATCCAAACTCTTCACGAACTATGACTTCAATTTCATATCACACACTTAAAAATCTAGGAATGTGATTAAAGAAACCATCGATTTGCTATCGAAACATGATAAGATTGAGTTCAAACGTAGTGAAGAGTACGCCTATTCAGTAAGCATGTGGATCTACAGGAGATATCATGAGCAGAGTATATCACAAGTGAAGTCCAAAATAGAAAGATGTCATATGCATGCCCAAAGTATGTGACATTACACAATGTGATTTTTCTAGCATACAACTTGGAATTCCATAGTCTGATAGTAATTAACATGTAGTTACTCTGCTTTACATAAGCGAAACATGAAACGTACAACATGGTATGACCCAATCAGTATAAATAAGAAAGCTCTGAAAAAACCATGCGAAATAGGGACGTCAAAATCTTGTCTAACTGCGGTACAAAATTATATCGATGTAAGAAATAAATATTAAAAGGAATGAGTCTCAAACCAGTCAACGAGCCTGAATATACACTCCAATCGTATTCTGCAATTTTCAAGGACGAGTTTTGCGTATGCTGCGAATGGAATTCATCCGCTTCAAGGTCTGACAAGGCTAATCTGACAGACTCGTAGAAAACGAAAGGTCGAGCACAATGTTCTGAACGTCTATCCTTCGGCGTCGCGCACGGTGACGTGGAGAGATTGGGTGAGCCCCGTTCAGTAAGTTCTGGACAAGGGAACGGGGAGAGAAGGTTTGCTGATCTGGTCGATCATTGGCAGAGTGTCATTTGACCGGAATGAGTGGGAAAGGTGTGTACCGGGCCGATTTGATGGGGAATTCCAGAAAATGCTGAAAGCCCCGGCCGATCGATGATCATGCCCATTTGCTTGGGAAGATCTGGGAGTATTTGGGGATTCCCGGGGGAAAATCTGGTCAAGTTCCGGCATGGCGCGTTCGATATCTTTCCCGGTACGTCACACCACCTGGCATAAGTGGAAAGGCTGGATGCACCCGTCGTCCTATGCCGGAGAAAGGCCAGACGAGCCTCGAGTGGAGATTCTTGTGGAAGGCTTGAGATTGAGAGCGAGCCGAGCTGATTGGAATTGAGCTGAGCCTGAGCCGGTCTGAAATCGGAAATCGTACGTAGGGCGGTCATGAGTGCCGGAGTTTAGAGTGGGGGGCCAAAATGCAAAGGGGGCGCAGGATCCCTCACACTACGTGTTGCGAACGAGGCGAATAATCCGCTGGTGCACGCCAAAGATATGCAAAAACCCGGAAAGCGGAGAAAGAGTGGAGTGGAAGGTACAATGGGCGGAAACGGGGATATACAGATTTCCGAGTAGCCGGAAAGATGAATGGGCAAATGATGGGGTGGCCCCAGCGTATGAATGTGAGTAGGAGATGGGGGAGAAATGCCAAGAGAGAGTGATGCGGGGATGAGGTGGCGGGGAGACATCGGCATAAGGGGAAGCATGATGATGATGAGGGGCACCACATGCATGGTGGAATTGATGCATGTGCATGACCACATCCGGGGTGGTGCACGCCGCTCGTCGGCGGGTAGTCGGTGCCACCATGGACATTCGTGGATGATGGCCGGGTGCAGTCACGCTGACGGAGGGTGTCATCGATGGGTTTCGAATGACGGACGGCGGGACGGAGAAATGGACGTAGTGCCGGCAGCTGACTTGTAGACAGCCCTGGCCGCGGCTGACAAGTGGCGGCAGGACAGCACCGTCATGGCGGAGGCTGACGTTTGGCATGCCATAGCATGCAGCCCGTGATCTCATGCCTGAGTCACGACCCTGCCCTCCCGCGTGACCAAATCTCTGCCCTGCCCGGGCCCTGGCTCGGGAAATAAAAGAACCGGAGCACGACGAGGCCATGTTTTTCCATGGCGGTCCTTCATGGGGCCACTTTATCCTCCCCTCATAACTCGCCCTCCGGGCAGTCAGGGATGGCATGCATTGTGCATGTTCCATCATCGGAATCTGGGATCCTCATACATCCCCCATGCTTTCTCTCCCCTCCCCTCCCCACCCGTTTGCGTCCCTTGAGGATTCTTCCGCACATGTGTTCCCGTCCTCTGTCCATTATTATGACTCTCGGCTCCCTTCATCGCCCCCAGTCAAAGTCTCCATTTTGCATGCCAATCGACTTGATTTCGACGTCGTCCCTCAGTGCCGATCGGTGTTCCTCTCGTCTTCCTTCGCTCTTTAAGCTCCACCCCGGCCCAGCTTTAATGCTCATCTTTTCTAATTGCACCGCGCAGAAAACACACTGCAAGTCATGCTCGTTCCGCTGCTCTCATGAAATGTATAACTGCTGTAATTGATGTGATCGATCGGGTCCAGCAGTGTGGCATTCAGACTCGCCAACTTCAACTGCTATTGACAAGTCGACGTCGGCCGCTGATACCTGCCTTCTCCCCTTCTTGTTTCCAAGTCCTACTCATTACTAAACGAATGCACATTTATCAGGTTATGAATAAGACGATATCTCCACTTCGAAGTAGAACTGATTTCACTGATTCTAGTTACGATAGTCTTCCGCAATAAAACCATGCCCTATTGGCCGACAGGTATAAGTCGTTTAACAGCTATTTAATATCCGGATATTTTATTGATGATGTTTTCTTAATGTCGTTTAAGTTTTCGTGCCCATGTGCAGCCATAAGACTTCATTTTTTCTCCAACAACTAAAAGTGAGCTTGAACTCAGCAATTTTTTCTAGTTGTAACTATATTGGACACTGGAAAATAATACAATTCAATATAAAACACTGAAGTGGGAATGTATCGGAACCGTTGCAAGAGAGCCACCAGTGAGATCAAAAGATGACACGTTGAGACATATTCAACAAAATCTACCAAATTTTCAAATTTGATGCTTGAAGAACTGGAAGTGGATCATGTTTGAAGATTAACTTATATGAAATTAAGCATTTTCTTTATGAAACTTGAATATCAAAAACACTTGCAAGGATTCTTTATTGTTTAAGTGCAAGATGAATCATGTAATGCATTTAAATTCAGATCATGTTTCGATGATTTTTATCATGTAAGACATGGCTTTAATTAATGATTCATTCAACTTTTCATATTTTTTGGGTTTTATTCAACCTTATTTTTACTTTAAACTACATTAACTTTGCACTAACTTAATGATAACAATGATGAACGTACATTGAAATAGTTTGATTTGATTGCCAAATATCGTGCAAATGATCTTAAAATATACACCTTAAAAAAATTGTATAATAGTGTGTTATTAACATATCACATGCATTTGATTAGCTGTCCAATTAATAAATATAACATCTTTATCAATACGTAATATATATATGTATATATAAACTAAATATTCAATTACATACTTAAACACATAGTGATCAGTGTATGTATATTATTTTTTAATTAATTTAATTTCTTTTCAAATGATATCTTATAAAAGATTGTGATTTATCACATTATAAATATATCAAAACATAGTTTAAGTAGGTAAATCATGACCTTTTGAAATCTATTTTCATTAAAATTGTATTATAATTTTTATTTTCTTCCATAAAAGCACACCGTTAATATACTCTCTATGTCAATCAACTGAATTCACATATTAAATATCATTTGAATAAATCAATACCATAGAAACATGTTTCGAATCATAAAATTAATCAGATTACTACAATAAAAAGTCTTAATACAAAATGAAAATTTTTTAAATAAGATTTGACCTTTTTTTTCAAATTACTGCTCAAACCTTATAATCTTTTTCATTTGATGAATAAAATGTCAAATGTTAAACTAATCCAGAATTTTATTTGCAATTTTTTATGTTCATTTCATGATGTGAAGTTTATTAAAGAGATTATACAGTAAATTTTATATTATATAATTATATAATTATATGAGGGAAATTATGTAACTTTATTAATTATTAATGTAATTATTAATTATTTTTTAACTTGAACTAAAGATTTTTTTGTTCATTTATATGCAAGAATGACATATCTTGAATAGGTTTTTGGCCTGAAAGTGAAAATTAATACATGTGAATCTTTTGATATAATTGATTTCATCATCAAATACCTACTGAATTATTTAAAGAACTCAAATTTAATTTTTTTATTCATTAAAAAATTGTTAAATTGTATTTTTCTTTATCAAAAAGTGGAAACCATATCCCATATTTAGTACTAATTCAAATCCAATAACATTTCTGCATATTTAATACATTCCAAAGATTAACATTCACATATGAATTTCCAATATATATATATATAGTAATTATTTTTAAATTTTGTATGCAAATAATAATAATATTTTTCATATAATCAGGGAGATATTATATTCATGTGCCATGTTATAAAGCACATTACAATATCTCATGATGCACAAATCAGAGGCCAACATTTTTTCTTCATGACTGCACCCAGACCAGACCAGACCATAACCATCAGCAGTGACCTAAGCGCACCCGTGCCCACCCATGCTACTCAAATTGCGCAAATCCTGACCTTAGCATTACTTGTGCCCACCCATGGAAAAATAATGTCACCCAAAACCCATGGGCATGGGTGGGTTTGGGCACGGGCACGCAATGTTGGGCTCTGGTACCAATGGATCATGATCAATATCTTAAGTTGTTAATACACACAATTGAATTTATGGACGCAAATATGCAAAATTTCCTTTCATCGTGTAATTTCCCAGCTTGGTTTGCACTTGTAACTGTTATTCACAATTTTAGATCATTGAAGTCAGAGAACTTATCAAGAGACTTAAAAAAATCGGAGTTACTAAAAATAAAGAAGACGTAACAGTCTTCTTTGTCGCAACCGTCAAATCAGCATGATATTGAAGCCCTCTTCGAGAGTGAAGGCAGTGTAACGGTTTTCCTCAGAGGATTACTCGCTCCGTCCGCTCGGGTTCCTGGTTTATCTTGACGCATACTATGATGAAATCCACCATTATTCCAGAGAACACAATTATGCGTTCGCCGGACGGGACAATACCAATATAGACGAAGAAGTGGCAGATGCCCTCAGAGATTCCCGTAGCACCGCGGTGAAAGGCACGGGAGGGGTTTTGAAGGTACCAACCTGGAAACCGGAGGAATGCGCTCACTGTACAGTACTTGTGAATGATTCAGATTCAGAAACTATAGCATTTACTGTTGGCCGAGATTCGGGAGGCCACAGGAAAGGCGGTGTCGGTATGTGTTGTGACACCCTTGGTGAGGGGTGCTCCTGCACGTCCGGATCCTTTGCTGCTCTCACATGATATGGGCTTGGCACCAGATCTGCAAGGATCACCCGTCCTATTTGTCTAGTGCTCATGACGGCATGAGCATAAGCCCTATCATCAGAAAGACAGGATCCGTTACATGGAGAGATGATTCTCAACATGGATTCCAAATCCCAAGAAGAGTGAGAGCTACGAATCTTCAATCATAAGGGCATTCTCCCACCTTCCATTTAGTTGCGTGCTTCGCACTTTGGGATCCAGCAACAATTCGGTTATCGCCTCTCGCTTGCTTGCAGCCCTGGAAGAATTGGCCTACAACCACGACACACGGGCGTTTGCCACAGGAATTTTGCTGCGATCTATCGACGAGGGATGTTGACAAAACCCGATAGAGCTAGCCGGACCTGCCGGACGTCAGCTTACAGCGGCCTGCTCGCCGTTCTCCGCAAAATTTATGTGGGTGCACATGTGCTTCAACAGATAGACAGACAAATGCGGTTAGGAAGCCCGGATAGGTTGAAAGGATAATAACTCACTGCCGCGTTTTTATATTCTTGTACTTGCTTGTAAGGACACCTGTTTGGGAGAGCGAACATGTTTTGACATGGAGGGAATCGAGACCGAGTTTGTCAGTCGGCCTTGATCGCTGACGAAAACCCGAACGATATTCCTTGGCTACTTGTTTTCACATAAATCATGCCTTGAGCTTCCCAGCCATGTCATACAGTGTAAGACAGAATTTATTTAAATGCTGCATCTCTCGGACTGGCAGCGGACGCCCGAGCGTAGTACTTACGACGTAATAAGTGCCCTTCCATAGGCATCACGCTGCAGTTCCGAGCATATGCTCCCGAGCTAACAAGAAGATGTCGATGCCGTTATCAATGTTTTCTTTCATTGACCGACAACATAAAACACATGCTTATCATCTCATGATAAAGGGCTAAGAGGATTTGACTCCGGTACGCAAGTGCATCACGAAGAAAGCTGTGCCCATGACCGGCCTCACGAGAAGCATATAGGCAGAATCAAAGCATCTCCGGAGAAAAGTAATATTTGGCTCGGGGTTTCGTCTCGGAGAGGGAGCATCAGTATCAGTCTTATGATGCAGCGATTACAGCTTGAAGCGAGTCCGTCCTAGATAGGCATATCCCGAAAGAGGGTGAGGAAATCATGCGTGGATTTCGACGCAGTGGTTGACTAGAAGTGAGGATTTGCGCGCACAGGCAGGAGGAGGAGGCAGCAGGCAGGACGCAGGAGGCAGGCAGGCAGGCATCCATCCAGTTTCTGTTTTGGGGACAACATGATTCTGGGATGGCGAGGGCAAACGGAATGGGCGCAGTCCCGAAGAAGGTACGTCGATGGCACTAAAGTACCGCTGCATGGTTGCACATTGATTCGCGAGCACCGATGGATCCGCCCGAAGGAGAAAGAAGCGCTTTAAAAAATCATCATGCTGCAAATTATGCAGCCGATATTTATTCGGACTTATAACTGGAAATGTGACTAGGTCATGAGAAAGCCTATAAATCAATACCGCCGGTGTGCGAGTTGACCGACCGTATCCCAGCGCGAGCTGCGTTTCGGGACTCGGGTACCGGACAGGAGCGTACGCAGTAAGCAGAATGCGGGAGCGAGGCGGCAAAGGAACCCAGTACGCACGCGCGACGCTGCTGACGGACGTGGTAGTCGGTAGTAATGGACCGCCCTGCTTTGCCAGGGACCGACGCATTAACCGGCAGGGGCACGCATGGATCCTGGCGGGCAGGCCACGGGCCACAAATCCAGCTCCCGAGAGCAGAGCGCACCTCGAAATGAATAATCCGACGTCGGCGTCTTCAAAGGCCAAGGACGGGACACGCTCGTCCCTTCGCCCTCGCTTCCCTTGCTGCGCCTTCCCGTGCCTCGGCCCTCGCCTAAACCCTAGCGGGGCCCCCCGTCCGCCCCCAAGAGCCGAGAGCGCGCAGGCCATAACATGGGTCAATGGGTCCATGGGTCCATGGGTGATAGATGATGCATGCGATGATGGCCCGGCGTCAGGTCATTCTCGACGCACAGTCTCGAACGTCGGCGGCCCAGTGGATAAGCCCTCGGGGCTCCTCTTGGCGGGAAAGGGGCGCTGAAAAGACCCGTTGGCCCGCGCCGGACCGGATTGTCTCTAGCGTCGACGGCACAGCGGGTCGCGATGGGCCTCGATTGGCTTTCGCTTTGTCCTCCGACGGCAGATGGAATGTCATGTCGTGTCGTTGGGTTCCGTTGTTCAGCCTTGTGTGTCGTGTGCGTCTGCAGCGACTCAAGTCACGACGCGACAAACTAGATCCAGATCCCGGACCATGTCTGTTTGTCTCGTGTGTCCCTAGATGGCCGTGGATAGTAGAAAAGCCTGCGAGGTGGCCGGGTTTTTTCGGGTTTCACATGTGATCAACTTCACGTTAGATCCTTGCAAACGAACCTTATGTTTCCAACGATTCGTTCAGATGTACATGAAGTGAATTAGCACATGTGACAAACACATGTACTGTACTCATTCGATGTACAGTTTAAACTTGTGTAAGCTATATAAAAATCAATACAAGTTGAGACTTAATTTTGAGGTTGTAATTCTCTACTCAGAATATGAATCATGTTATGACGGATGTGGAGTTAAATCTCAAGTATAAATCCAATCCACTATGATAGCATTTGAGAAGATTCTGCAAATAACTAGCAATCTTCAATTTATTCCGTTAATTATGTATAAAAAGATGTGATAGAGATTACAGAACTTTTAATCGATACTCAATTAAATTAAAATTATGGTTTTTTTCTAGAAAATTCCTCTTGGAAAACAAAGGAAACTACTCAAAATTTCAAACCGTTCTTCATTTTTGTAACTAAACACAACAATTTAGAAAAATTCCAAGACTAGATTGAAATTTAATTTTTAGATAATGAAAAAAATCCGAAAAATAGTGACATGATGTTTAATGATATAATGTAAATATCCTCTGCTATAATATAAAAAAATTTCAAAGATAAATTTTTTAAATAAATATTCATTTAGTTAAAATTATTCACTTATTAATAAAAAATAAATTATTTTTTCTTAAAATCAGTTTTTATATGATTTTAAATCTTTTCCTAAAAAATTATTCTAATCCTAAAGGAAAATTTTCTTTGATTAAAATTTTTAATATTTTTCCTATTTATATAATAATTCCAATAAATACCATAAATAGATAAAAATATAATGGTAGAAAATTAATAAATCTCTTGATATTTATTATATGATTTAAAATATGATATTAAAATTAAGTGATTTATTTTAATTTGATAAAGTAAAAATAGAACATGTGAGATCTCTTGAATTTTCATTGTAAATCTACAGATTATATTATGTATCACAAAAAAGAAATTAGTTTTTTTTTAATTTTATACTTCAGGTTGAAAATGAGGCAGTATACTAAATCCTGGAGATAGAATATTGATACTCTTTGCTATAATTAGAAATTATTTGAAATAGATATGATTTGGGTCAAATTAATTTTTTTAAAATTATATGAAGAGGTATTTTACTTGTTTTCTTAAATGCTGGATCAAACCCCTTAATCCAAATCTAGGCCTGATTATCTATTTTACAGACATTATATTTTGAAGTTGCAGTTGTTTTAACATGTTATATGTCCAATTTCTGTGAGTTTTTCAAAGCTAAGAGATCCTGAATTCTTTCAAATAAATTGTAATCTTGGTGCAATCGATATGTGTTTTAAATGATGTTATATGTTTTTATAACTAAATAACCACACATGATTACTGAATCTTTGCAAATTTATTAGACTCATGATTTCTTTCGTAATCAAATTTGGGGTATACTTAAGTAAAATGAATGTATTGGAAAAGTTTTTGAAGTGATTTATAACCTAGTTGGAAAATTCTTGCACCAGAGTTTTCATTCTAAAAAAAATTCATACGATCCAAGACATCATGAAGGCAAATTTCGAAACTTAGTATAAGAGAAAAAGTCCATGTGTAGAATGGATACAGTTCAATTTTGATTGATATATGACAGAGATCTTATTAGCGTTTCTCTTGTAAACGAAAACTGCGTTCTATTGGCTCCAAAATAGTGCGACACTATTTTGGTCGAATTGCAGTATTCAGTGTTGAGAATCTACACAGAGTAAATTGTGGGACAAAGTACGTCTTATTCGTTAGATGTGGATTCCAGACCAGAACTTTTCCTCTTTGTACAAACCACAAATGTACCTCACGAATACCTTCACCAACCCAGAACAATCGACCATATTTTATTCGAACAAGCAGCGCTGGTAGGTTTACACGGTCGTTCGCCGAATGTGAATCAATCTTGTCAAATGCTGCGTCGTTCTTCCATTCTCTACTCTCCTCATACAAGACAGCGCACAGACCGAACGGAGACGGACGAGGTCGGGCGACTGCCCTGCCCTCCCCTTGAGGACGGTCCCGTCCTTGGATCGATCTGTCTGGCCCACCGGAACGGGACGGTTCAGTTCCTCTAGAATAGAGGAGGTTTAGATAGGGCAGAGTAAGCGTACGTAAGATGGAATGCAGGAGAATGAAGAGAAAGGAGGAGGAAGCTGAAATGGCGGGGTTCGCCAACATGGAGGCGTAGGGCCCACGAATGGCGGAGAGAGGGCATAGGGGGTTCCGGCAGTAGGGCCGGCCTTTGTTGAACAAGGGGCAGATGATTCTTCAGGGGGCAGCTGCGGTCGAAGAGCAGCACCTCACGCTTGCTGCAAGTCTAAGTCATCTGACACATCAACAAACACGAACAATGTGGTCACCTCCGACTTTTTTGACGTATGACTTGCTGCATCGGTCCCGAAAAGCCACTTGGTTGCCCCAACAAAGATTTGCCCATGCATACGCGCACACATAAGTTCATCAGAGGTGACACACACCACCATTGCATTACCTCACCCGTCCTTTCTTTTGCCCGGCCTGCAGGGTCGTACATACCACTCCACTCCCCGACTCGATCGCATCGCTATAGCAGCCTTACAAAAAAAATTCGAGGGCCGACGACGACTGACTGCCTGACTGCCTGCGTGCTTGCTTGCTTTGCTTTGCTTTTGGTGTGCGTTGGTGTCGTTGCTGCATTTGGGGTCACTGGCAGTTCACGCATGTCTCCGACTGGCCACTGTTCCAAACATACTCAACTTGGGACTTAGTTCCTTCTGCTCGCTCGGTCTTGTTCACCTGAAAATTGATGCTGGAAGCCAATCAGAGCTCGCGAGCCAGGGACACAAGTCTTAAGATAAGGAGGAAGATCGTCTGGGATTCCGGCAGAAGGCGGGGAGGGGCTTAGGGCGATGAGATAAGCCCTGGGGGCGCCGCTCTGGCGCAGGGGCGGGGGCGGGGATGGACGGACGAGGAGCAGACCAGCGGAGGGGGGAGTTATAAAACGAGCAATAAGAGGAGTGACGGGTGCAGCACTATTACTTCCAACGCTGGTCACGATGCGGATGGGGCCACTAACGAAGTCTGAAACAATCACTCCTCCGCTTTGATGACATATCAACAGTGCACGCTGAAGATAGAATCTTTGGACCGGGATGATACTGCGAATCTGCCATGGCATGGGGTAGCCTCGCAGCCAAGCTAGATTCACTTGGGAGCCCGTTCATATTTACATCGTCGACGGTCATGCTGAGAATGGTGAGAGCACTTATACGCAATCTCACCTGATGATGCTATCACTGACCCATGGGTGATGTAAAGTATGCCAATCCTAAGTTAGTGTGAAACAACTACCGCAATGAAAGCTTCGGAACGACAAAGTGACCAAAGGTAGCATTGAAGAATATTATTGATTGGCGGTAACTATTGAGCCTGCTGTGGATTGGTATGATGTTAAATTTCGGCACCCAAAGTACATCCTTATGCGTACTTTACGTGTTGGATCGTGGAGCAAACCACTAGGGCAAACATGGCTTTTGTGTGTACATACATCCAGCAGCAGCAGGAGGTCCCATTTGTTGGGAAGATAAGTGTTTGTCATTTTTCTCCTTTTCGTGAATCCCAACAAAAATAAAAGGAACTCATGCACCAGCTCATGCACCTTACGGAGTTGTCTTCTAACTTCTCACTTGGCCAACCATCATCCGTGCATGAACTCCCCTAACATCGCATTACTGTTTAAAGGTAGACCTGACCTTGTCTTCATTAACTTTATGGCATTCGTGGGCTCTTCAGCATGTACATTACATGACTGCTCGCAATAGGGCCATATCGGAGACCAGCACCATTGCTGCCCATGTATTCAAACCTAGAAAAGAAAACTCTCTCTTCTCTCTTTCTCTCTCCTCGCCTCTCGTCTCGTCTCACCTCTCGCTGCACTCACTGAGCTCTTTCAAATCCTCCACCCAACAGGTTCCATTTTGGATTCCAAAAAAGCCCTTATTAATATATAAATATCTAGCACGACTACTCTGATACCTTCATCATGTTCCCCGAAGAAACTCGTCAACAACTTCCTTAGGAAATCCCAGAAGCAACACACCCCGCTCTCCCCTCCCCCCCAATCGTCTTCGAATGAGGCTGGCTGCTAACCTCACGCTGTCTCTCATCTACCTCAGCTATATCGGCGTATCTCCGATGGCCCCCGTGGACCCGCTCTCGACAGCAGCAGCAGCAGCAGCAACAAGCAGCTTCTGGGTCTGTCCAAATTCAAAGCCTTGCGAGTCAATCGTCTTTCGGTTACGTAGGCTCATGAGCAAGGGCTGCCCTCTTCTCCCAGGCCGGGATAGAGAATCCCAATTGATCAGCCCACTCGCACTCCTCCCATCGGCCTCCCAAACACTTCGTCTCCAATCCTCGTGTCTAGCTCTGAGTCTGATGCGCCTGAGAAGGTGATGATCAGTTAGGGAGCTGTAGCTCCGAGGACTTTTAGAGGGAGGGTCGCATATAAATATCTGATGATGATATCATGCTTAAGGACAAGATCATGGCCAGTGTAGGTAAGGAGCTACACCCCTGTGGGACTGTTTTGCTGAGGCTCGATGGACTCTGTTCAAATCAAGTGCTCGAAGAAGCGTCAGGACACCTAAAATTCACGACTTTTGTAAAAATTCGAGTATTTAATTGGGATTTTTCGCTTTCCTTTCTCCCCCGTCTCCCTCCGTCCCTCCGTCCCTCCTCGCCCTGCCCTCAAAAGGGCATAGAATCATTGGGGTTACGTGTAGCTGCATCTCCATTCGTGTGACTGTGACGGAGGATTAAACAAGACAAACTTTGACCATTCGTGGATCTGTAGGTTTGTAGAATCTTACGCTTGGACTTTGCTGAAGATCTATCATACGGAGAACGTTAGCACCACTCTGTAGCATTGGACTTATGGGTAGGCGATGGGGGTAGAAGTAAACGACCAATCTATGAAGAATACAAAAAGTTCACCGAGGCCAAGTACATGTACTGGAACCATCGTCTTCTCGTTCAATGCCTGTTGTGCTTTGATTTTGTTGCGAGCATCTTTCTATTCTAAATCGAGATGCTCGACGTTTTCGAGTCGAGAGGAGTTGATATTCTGCTCGCCTGTTGTGATATCACCGACATGTTTCAATTTCGATTGACATGTCCAAACACTCCCTAACCATCAGTACGCACTGCTTGGGGGGGAGGACATCGAGGACACCCAACTGTAGTGACATGCCGCTTTGAAATACTTCCAGTCGCTTGTCGTAGTTGCTGTTTGTTCGCCAGTGGTAATAAAGGGCGAGAGCGGAGGAAGCAATGGTGGAGTGCGCAACCATCAACCAAAAGTCGAAGACCGCGCAAATCGTCCATGAAAGCAGGTCGTAGGCAAGGGAACATGAGTACTTGACGTAAGCAACATTTCTGTAGTAGGGGGTGGGGGGCGGGAGGCTCTCTCGAGAGTCGCTCATGTTTGCCATATCTATCTGTTAGCAGGATCGGCAAGTCCACAGCGATTTGCCAAAAAGGGGGAGGGGGGGGTGTAGCAAGAGCATGATGCAGTGGCTTAGACACCACTGTAGAGGCGCAAACAAGAAGTTGATGATGGAAAGATTGCTGCTCGAGGGTGAGTACAAGTTGAGCAACTTGGAGCGAGAGGATTTTGAAGGGGACGAGCGGAGCGCGGCACGGGCCGAGAGTCGGCCGAGATGATGACAGAGACTGCAAGAAAGAAGCGAGAGAGAAAGAAAGAAAGAACGATGATGCTGATCAGGTGGGTGGTGGGTGGCGGGCGTGCATGCATGCATGACTGGGAGCGGGGAAGAGAGGAAGGAAGGGTGGGGGGGAGGTAATGGTCATGGATGGCGTTATAATAATAATGATGACGAACACATGGTCGACGAAGACGAGAGTGATGCAGAGATAGAGAGAGGGACGAAAGAGGGCGTCGTCGAATTATCCTCCACATGCTCGAGCAGTATGCTGGAGCCGAAGCCCACGTGGAACGGAATGGTATTGGAGAGGCCGACAGCCCTCACATGATAAAAGATACGATCTCTCATCCCTCGCCCGCTCGCCATCTCTCTCTCTCTCTCTCTCTCAGATCAGCCGTCGTCGTCCCCTCCCCGTCCGGAAAGGAAAAGAAAGAAGGCGAATGAATGCAGTAAAGAAAGGACGCAAAGGGTGATGTGACTTTAATTTACAAGGCTCACGGGATAATCATCGATAAAATGGCGGTGCTTTCTGCTGGGCTTCTGCTTTCCTGCAGCAGCAGCAGCAGCAGCCAGAGAGTCCCTTTCCTACCTGCCACAGGCTCGCTCTGCCTGTCCTACCTGCGCTCTATCTCGATCTGGACTCTAGAACCACCGCTCTGACACCGGGGCATGTGCGCAGTCGCCCCCTGCGTCGGGCACGATGCGATTGCGACTGCCCAAGAGTCGCGACGAGCCCTCGGGTCATTGTCGCACGGCCGCGCCGAACCGGTCGCTTTCGACCACCAGACTCCGCGCGAAGTCAGTCGGCTGCGGCCCGAAAAAGAGTCCCGTGCCCTCCGCCACGTGGCAGGTCGCCATCGGCCAGCGGCAGATCTTTGGAAAAGCTGCCGGATGCCCACGATGGCAGCCATGTGGCTGCTCCGGTCCCAGGTGGAAATCGTCACGGGTTTGAGGTGGGAGCGCGCAGGTCATTATCGCGGGGAGAAGAAAACAAGGCGCGATTCATTTCCGCCAGAGACGACTCGTGCTCGTTCTTTCTGGGCGACCCGCCAAGGACCTCAAGGACCCCAAAGACCCACGGGCGGAAACTAGAGGACGACGCCCCGGACCCTCCTCGTCCCGGACCCGCCACACGAGCGAGCGTATGCCGAGTAATGGCAGCTTCGGGGCGCCACTGAGGCTGCCGGAAATGTAACTTCCTGCGTATGTTGTGACGCGTCGGTTATCGGTAGTGCCGTGCTTGCCGGCCCACGACGGCAGTACTGTTCTTACAATCATTTCGCTTTTGCTCGCTGAGGCCCTATTATTCCCTGCTTTCGTCTTTAATCCCGGCCTTAATTACACGGTCCTCTAGATTCCTCTCGCTAATGAAAGCCGATCTTACCTTTAATCTTAACTTAGCCTTGCATTTTCCGATCGTCGTCATTAAGCCAGCTCGTTTTTTCCGCTTCTTAACTCGAAGCAGTCACTAATTATAGCTTCCGATACTTCCGCCCTTCGCCCGGATCTTGAAGTTCGGGATTACGCCTAATCCCTCCATCCATCTTATGGTAATGTCGATCTAACGCAATCGCGCAACATCCATCAGCGTGCTAATCGCTTCCGAGTCTCGCCGCTAATCAATGTTGGTCCCCGTCTTACCCTCGGCCGGAACTCGATGTCGTCCTTGTCGTACGACCTCGCCGTTGTTTTGCGTTCGGAGGACGCCCGATTTTATTCCCGCTAATCAATATGGCCCCATCGCTTACCACTCGGCCCGAAGTTTGGCGCCGTCGCTAAATTTGGCCCACTCAGCTCGCGAGCCTTCACTGCTCCGTGTGGCTGGCGCTGTGTTGTCGGCGTCGACTTAATTCTGCTGTGAATCACATTTTCTGCCCTGCTTACTTCACACCTGAATTTAGGTGAGCTCATTTCAGGCCTGAAGGCCGATCGCCGTAATGAATGTCACCCACATGGTGAGTGTGGGATTAATTTGGGGTCCTTAAATTGCTTCACACTTGAGTAGCATGACATTCTCGTTTAGGGTGGAGCAGCAGATTTGAAGATTAGAAGAAGTACTGGGCCGAGTATCTTGCTTTCATCGATTACGTCAGCCGATTGATGTGCTTACGCTTCAAACGACAGGCGAGCACTGACATACTTGCAGAAAACCGAGAGAAACGCTCTGGATGTCATCTCGCAGCGACGACGACGTAGTCCAGTTGGGCTCCTTGCATGTTATGGCCTTCTGTTGTCTGTAGCCCGCTACGCAAGTTCGTCTGACCCAGCCAAACCTTATATCTTTTGATGATGGCGAGCCCAAAAGCTCCAAGGTAGGCCAAAGGCGAGTGAACAGGAATCTGTGTGAGATCTGACCCCAGGGGAACATGTGAGCCGAAGTGGTCTCAATAAAGCAGATTAAGAAATGAGCCAGAGCAGGGAAATCAGTCAGGCGTGGCCACCCAAAGGCCATTGTAGCCTAGAGTGGAGTGGCTCAAGATCCACAAATACCACATTAGGCAAAGTTACTTCTTCGAGGTTGAATGTCAAGTACAACGTGTAATCTCTCTCTCTCTCTCTCTGAGCTCCTTCTTGGTATGCTATACGGGCTGATGATGTTCGCCCCTTGCATAATTGGAAACCGTGCCGTTCATTTTCTACGAAAATAATGAAGCACAACTCGGAGCAAAGTCCACGCTTCCATTGTTCACTTGCTCTGGTGTTAAGCGATGGTGTTCAGGCTGAAACTCAAGGGTTGTCTGTTTGCTCGACCACCTCCTTGTCAACCCCCTGCACAAGGATGAGGAAATCCCGTCATATTATGAACAGATGCAAGAAACGAGAAATTTGGGGCTAAGCCCCAAATTTATCCCATTAGAAAACTTGTCCCCTGGTTGTCGAGACATTACAAGTCAAATGTCTACAACCAAGAAGAATATTCCCGGGAGTGATTCATCGCTGTTAGATTGTCTTCGTACATGCTCCGCTGTGAAATAAAAGGGTGGGATGATTCCTTCCCCATGAGATTTATGTATCTAGAAGAAGCATCACATTATGTACGGGAAAAGAGAAGTAGCTCAAGAAGCCATGGATCTGCACAAAAGCAATGGGGGTTGTCGTAAGAGCATGGGAAAAGTACTAGAAAAGGGTTTGCACTTAAGGTATTGATTACGGCGATAGATGCTTTAGATTCCTCTTGGCGATGACAATCTTTGCGTGGATGTACCGTAGTCCCCACTAGCTTCGAGCAGCAGGGTTGCGACTACTAATCTCTGGATATTCGAATGTATTGCGCATTCATTGTCCTTCTTTATTCCTGCTATGGCGCTTCGAGCGTGCTGTTCTCTCTGTTCTTTCTTGTGTCCCATAATTTTCAGGCCACTTGACAAAGGGTGGATACACCTTTGGAGATTATGGCACAAATTTGTTGACTATGCTGCACCCTTGCGATTCAGACTGCGTGGTCGTTACTAAGGTAGGTGTGCTGGTAGGAGTTTAGGCCTACCCACATGCAAAGTACACTTCCTACACCATAATTGAGCAGTGTCACATCTTGGAGTAAGCATCAAGAAGAGGGAAAGGGAGGAAGAAAAACTGATTCATTGAATTTATCATGGGCGTGTAATGTGCTTTACTTTCTCCTGGTGGCCATTTGGTCATAATTAGGTACAGTAGGATTGGAGTGGCTCAAGACAGAATCCGGTCACTGACCTCGAGCATGTAAAGTTTCGCATTGGATGTGAACTTGATAATGCACTTAAAGTGTACCGATCGATCCGTTTAGTGCAGTGAAGGGATGCTCTTTCGCCACCTTAGATTGCCAGCTACTTCGAAAGTGTTTTACGTCTTCAGATACGGAATGCAATGCCGAGGTGTGTGGCCATGAGCGACCGGTCACCACCTGCCAGCTGCTCAGGAGCGGGCGATGGCTGGAAATTGGAGATACTTGGCATTGAGAAACTGACCAGGTGCTCTTTGTCTGCAATTCATCCATCCATCCCTTTTGCCATATTACCAAGAGAGAATGTTCCGCTGCTTTTGCCCTGCCGCGCGTCCGAGCAATATAACGTGCTCCTCACCAGGTGTCCTGGTGACGAACCGGCGAGGCGTGAATACGTCTTCGTTTAACTTGTTCGCGTGAAATACGTTTTCTTTTCGAGCAAGTTACAAATGAGAGAGGCACATACTAATGGATAGAACAGTGCGTCGCCATACCCGATTCCCCGTAGAGAAAAACCTCGGCTCGCCTCGCCTCCACGGGCCCTCGTGGGTGCCGTCCAGGTCCTGGCGCACACCAAGATTTATGAAAGCTGGTACTAATTTCTGAGAAAAGCAAGAGCAGAGCAAATTTCCTCTTTCTCGGACGAGGAGATCATGGCCGACTCTGCCATGTTCGAGAAAATGCGGGGAATGTGCCGGGCTTAAGCCCAGAGCGTTGCGGAATCCTACATGTCGTTTCTGCGGGTGGGGCAATTATTACTGCTACGATAATTCCATGCTTATTCCCGGCCCCTATGAGCGCAGAGCTTCCGTTGGTCGTCTTGGAGGTACGGGCGTCCCGTAAGGGACACAATGGTACCGCGGCGGTCGCTTCTTGGAGGACGGACGACTGGGGGTTGAGGTCGGGCTTGGGGGAGCCACCTGATTGGCGGAGGGGGGTGGGGGCTGAGAAGTAACCCAACCGTAAATCGCAGCCGGGGCTTCGAACCATCATGAGTTAATTCGCGCGGAGTGCTAGCCCGAGTTCACACCCCCCACTCATGGAGCCACTAACCACGTCCTGGACGGCGGGCTAGCGGGCTCTTAGCCACCACGGGCCCGAGCGGGGCTATGGAATCCGAACCTTGATGGCCGGACTCTCGGCCGCTCTCGGCGATTAACTTCTGGACTCTGGTGGCTTTAACGGTCTCGTACGTCGATCACCACGCCATGCTGTCCACCTCAGGCCCTCGCACACTCGTGCCTTAAGTTCAGACTCTGCTCGCTTCAGCTCTCGCTCGTGCCTTGACAACACCTTGTGCGCCGACGCACCAACCAACCAACAAGCAATCGAGCAAAGAAGCAAGCAAGAGAGAATCGAAAGTTCACGGCTGGGGGCAGTGAGTGAGCTCTTTCACTACACTCGCTTATTGCAGTGACTCTTAAACGCCTACAGTGCGCTAGGCATAGGAGTAGTTGTCGCTCGTACGAGCCCATGGCCAAGCGATCGATACAGTACAGTATTGCCGAGCTGAGCTGAGCGAACCCAACCAAGGTCAGTCGAGCCAGGAGTAGTAGGCGAGCCTGCAGCTGCACTGAGCTGCTGCTGGTGTTCGGCTGCAGGCTGTCGTGGTCGTCGTTGCAGTGGCAGTTTTTTCGCATTCAGTCACTCCACCTAAGAGTCGAGTGGCTCAAGCGTGTGTAAACGCCGAAGTCTAAAGTCCAAAGGCATCCAATTAGATTATGCAAAAACACGGACTCGGGCAAAACCCGCTCTGAGGCCGAGCGCCTCGTTGTCGTCGTCGTCGTCGTCTGCTGCTGCTGCTTCTTTTCTTCTCTGGCTCGTCGTCGTCGGAGACTGACTCAATTACGCTACTCGTGACGGTAGCCAGTACCGACTCCCCAGTCCGCGTGACCTACCCAGTAGCCACATCTGTGGCATGTTCCCTACGCGGTACGACTAGACTGCATCATCATCCGTTCTGTTGGACCGGACCGGATGGACAAACTGCCCAATCACCTCCGGCGTCCATCATGTAAAGGATCTATAGCCCCCCTGTTCCCCTCCCCCCCCCCCCCCCCCCACCCCCAGCCCCATTCACATTTTCGTCCTCCTTCGAGTCCGCTTCGGAATTTCGAAAATCTAACCCGCGTAACGGGAATGTGCATCTGAAATTTTCGTTCGCTGGGGTGCCAAAACGGAGGGCGGGAGGGAGGAGCGGACCGCTAACGGAGGGCTGACTCGCTAAGTCGGTTGCCGGAGACCGGGCCGGGACTTGCACGACGATCGCCGTAGCTTCAGGGGCTCGGCTGGGCAGGCGGGGGTAGGGGCACAGAGGGTAAAATGGCCGAGGGAGAATCCCTGCCGAACCGGTAGGACAGAAGAGAACAAGGAGTGGTGGGGGAAAAGACGACGGTAGAGGAGAGAAAGCGCAGACAAGAGCAGCAGCGGCCGCTAGAGGAGGCATGCTCCCTCTGCTATGCTCTGCCTGCGCTCTCGCATGCCCAAGCCCAAGCCTTGGCTTGGGCTTGGGCTTGGACTGGGACTGGGGCTAGCTCGGGTTGGGGGGGTCGGGGGCGCCATCCTCTCCTTCTTGTGCCCGCACTGCCCCTCGATCTCTTGAGGACCAAGCCTGCCTGCATAAAGAGCCGGGTTTAGGACAAGCAATTACAATCGTCACAGTTGCTCGCCCCCCCGTCCCACTACACCGATCTTCCAACCCGCAACTCAACTCGCCCTGCTCCTCCTCCTCCTCCTGCTGCTGCTGCCGCTGCTGCTCGTCCTAAGACTCAAGCACTTGATTCTCTTTCGTCTCTCTCTATCTCTCTCTCATCGCTTGCCTGTGCCTGTGCTGTGCTGGCTGGGCGAGAAAGCTTATAAACACCCGCTTGCGCTGATCTCTCTCCCTCTTTTCATCAAGAGTCGCGAGTGTTGAAGCGAGTGTCTCCGCGCTGCTGCTGCTGCTGCTATCCCCTCTACCTCTCTCTGTGTCTCTCGCTCTCTCTCTGCCTCCCTCTCCTTTCTCTCTTGTCTCCCTTGACAACATCTGCGAGCTTGATTGAGCGCTAGTGTTTCTTTATTGGCGCCTCGCTTGCCTTGGGCTCAGCTGTAGAGTCGAATAGAGCTCTCTCGCGTCTCGTATCTTCTCCAGTCGGATTGAGCAAGAGCGGATTGGTCTGATTTGATTTGGAGTCGGCAGATACTATTCGGCACAGAATCCGTCCTCCTATTCGGAAGCTGGTTTGATTTCCATCAACGCTCGACTCATCTTGCACACACTTACCGCAGCCAGCATCACGAGTTTCGTGACAGCTTTCGGTTTTCGAAAGCGCACTCGGTTGAGTTGTTTGGGTAATCTGTCGGTATCGAAAGAGTAAGCGACCATCAGTCGCATTGGTAGGGAGGGTGCTTTTTCTGCCGGAAGAATTTCTTGAGTTGTCATACGCGTGCCGCAGCCGTAGCAATTTACAGAGTTGGGTAGAGGCGGAAGAAGAGCACATAACCAATTCTGCGTCGAGGTGGTTCTGGGAATCCAGCTGTGGTCCGAATTGAGGTCGTGAGAATATCGCCAATCTCTCGAAACCGAGATTGTAAAGCATTAAGAAGGTTCTTTAGCCGACTTGCGGATTGGAAGAATCGACTCTGGCGGTGTTCTTGAAATGGTATCGGTGCTGCGCTCTTGATTGGCTCATTACCGCAGCAGAGAATTCACGTCGGTCTTCGAGGAAGACTTGTGACAGCACTCGTATAATACACGCACGCGAGTCATACGCCACTCGTTCACGTGACGAGTCGCCAGCGCCGACAATTGACAATCGCACGGGAGTCTCTGGCAATTTCGCCGTCGCTCGAGAGTCGTGCGCCGCTCGCCCGCTCGAAGAGGAATAGGCGGAAGAGGGGCAGGTTGTGCGTGACGGCAGAGAGAGCGAGAGTAAGTCACGACGAAGATTCATATCGCCCGCAGCGGATTTGAGATGCAGACTCAGACACAGTCGCTGGGATTCAGCATGGGAGATAGCCGATGGTCAATGCAAGGGATGAGCCAGTTGGATGCCGTGGAGCGAGTGGAAAGATTGGCAGCCGAAAATGCAGTCGTGGTGTTCAGCTTGAGTTCTTGCTGTATGTGCCATGTGGTGAAGCGCCTGTTCTGCAGTCTGGGAGTGGGCCCCACGGTGTATGAATTGGATGACATGAACGGAGGGGCCGAGTTGGAGCGAGCATTGAGAAAGCTCGTGGGCGATTCGCAAGCGGTGCCCGCGGTGTTCGTCGGAGGAAAGCTGCTGGGCGGCTTGGATCGAGTGATGGCGGCGCACATCAGCGGGGCTCTGATCCCGCAGCTCAAAGAAGCCGGAGCGCTGTGGCTTTGAACCGACGATCGTGGACAGATAATATTGTGCGCTGCCTTGCCAATTTTGATTGTTTGATTGAGCCTCCGAACCTCAGTGACTGTAACTCTGCACTCTTTCTCCGTTCGAGCCCACACCAACAACTCTCGCAATACTCGAGGCTAGCTCGGCCAATGTCCAGGCCTTGGAATTTAGTTCGTTCACATGGCTGACTAGGCTGTAGCAGCTGAACCTCTTTGTGGAGGTGGTGGTGGTGCTTTCGGCGGTGGTCCCGGCATAATGTGACGCGCAGGCCGTGGGGGAGCGATCGAAGGAAGAGATGAAGCCGTGCATGGACGCAAGCAGACTCTCGCAGGAGATCGACAATAACGTGCAGTCTCCCGGTGCTGCTGCTTGCAGAGCAGACGGTCCTGCCATGACTCTGTGCATAGTGATGCCCCTCGCGCGCTCTCGATCGCCCTCCCGCACGACCCCGACCTTCTTCACTCACCCCACTTTCACGAACAAGATACGCAGAGTGGTACATGCTTTTGGTCACAGGATGATTCACGCATATTATTCACATGTACACGCCCATTCTTAGATTGCTAGGAATAGCATGAATTCTCATCATCTTAGCGAATTTCAACAAGGACAATCGGTTATCACCTTCGGGTATACAAATCGGACAATGAGCGCGACCTGTACTAGATCAAATTTTTCCAATTAGAACAGGCGTTTTCTTGGGGATTCCGCGGGCCACACCCTCCTCCCCCACCTGCGGCCTTGAGGTCATAGATTTTTGTTTGCATTTTCGCCGGTGGGTGGGTGCCTTCAAGCGCACCCGTGTATCAAACTTTCCCAACAATTGTGGCTCGTCATATTTTTTTTCGTGAGAAACACGCTCTTCACACCTGTGAATACGTTTACCGAAATTCCCTCGCCTCCTGTCTCCTTTATCTCTATCTTGCACACATTCTCTGTGCTCCGATCGAGCTTCGCCTCGTTCGAATGTGAATTATTCTTGCCGTGAAAAATTGCGAATTGCGATTCCATCTCTGGCTGTGAATCGAGTGTGACTCGCGACCGATGCTGAGTTTCTTTCTTGGATAGGGGGGATTCCTTTTGCTTTTCGAGGTGGTGGGCGTCGATATGGCAATTCGCCGATCGGACGAACACTACGAATTGGATTTTCGAGTGTCGGCAGCCGATACATCCTTCTTGATTTTCACCCCCCAGAAGCACTTCGAATTTGAGCGAGGAGAGCGCGGATCGTCCAATAAACTCTTCGAGGCTCCTCGCTCGCTCGCCTTGCCGCTCATGATTTGAATCACTCGGCTTTTGAGCTGCCGGCGAATTTTCCCAGCGGCGACGACCACGTCGCTGTCCAACGTCAGTCCGTGTGGCCGGGGCCCAGAAGACCTGCCCCCCCCCACCCAAGCCCACCCCCATCCCCATCACCCGCCTCTCCACATCGCATCAGACGCCCCTGGTGCGATGGGCACAGGGGGAAATCGGGGATTATGTCGGCGGGGGGGGGGGGGGGGGGGGGGGGGGGGGCAAGTTAAGGCAAGTACAGAACACATGTGGGGGCTGAGCCGTTCTATTCGCAGAAAGGGACTGCAGGGGCAGGGGCAGAGCAGTTTGTTCCCGGCAGCAGCATCAGAAGGGGAAGTGACGGGACGGGTCGGGACGTGCTGCGATACGGGAACGGAAGAGCGCAGGGGGCCAGGGTCGGTGGTTGTGAGTCCGATGGGTGAGAGCAGCAGTGGCGATGGGAAAATGATTTGCCAATTTGACTTGACTTGTGTCCAGACCACCTGTCGGTAGTAGTCGTTGATCCGTTGCCTCGGCCCGCTCATTTACTTCCATCGCTGCTCGGCCGTGTTCTTTCTACCCACGGGACGACCAGGTGGGGCAGAATTGGGGCAAATTTTACCTTGCTGCCAAGAGGGCACGACGTGCTGGAGAGAAGTGAATAATGAGCTCGAGAATCATCGAATTTAAGACATGCAAGTTCGTCGTCTTGCTCGCTGATCAGGCCTGCTCTTGGACACTAATCTGCTTCTCTCCTCTCTCATATTAACTCGCGCGCGAACAAATCCAAGCGCTCGTCATTAGCCATGAGCCCGGTCAAGGTCTGAATAGTTAACGAACCTAAACCACCTATTCTCTCCCGCATAAGGACACCGAATCTGCCATCGTGAATCTCCGAATCTCCGATCCGACTAGACTACAAAACACTTCTCGTCCACTCGCCAGGCACGGCAGCCGGCGCCCTATCGCCGACTCAACTTAACGCCCTCTGACCGCTCTCGCAGTTCGCAGCCCTGGAGGATATTACTGGGACTTGGAGCCGACGAGCAATCGCAAACGACTCTGGATCTTCTGAACATGCGTGGAAAAGTGTGAACGAGCGAGCGAGCGAGTGAGCAAATCCTGGGCCGGATTGAATTACAAGAACGTCGCGAAAGGGATCATGCAGCGATCCACAGCGAGATGCTTTCTTGGAGTATCCATCGTCTCGTGTCCTCGAGCAAGAACTTCGAGTCCGCGCAATCAATCAATCGATCGATCCATCAATCAATCAATCACTACATCGATCGATCGATCGATGTTGGGTTCACCGAATAAAGATAAGACTTCATCGCGAGAGAGGAGGCAACTGGTCTTCTTGGACACACTGACTGCGATCTGACAGTGTACTTGTGCGAGGGGCAGGGGGTGGGGGTGGGGTTGGGGCTGTGTGGGGGATAGGCGTGTTTCGGCCGAGAAGAGCACCGCTTAAAAAACGGTTGGCATCCGGTGGGTAGCAGACGTCAACGGCAGGGTCACGGAGTTCGCCGACCGACAGGCGAGCGGGTGCATCGCGCACCAGCGGCAGCAGCAGCAGGGGGGGGAAGAGGCAGGGGGGGGGGGGGGGTGGGGGAGAGCGGCGTTGGCCCCGTCGCAAGGCCACAGTCGGCCGGCCCTGTGGAGTCAAAAGGGCGTCGAGGTCGAAGATCATGTTTCTTCATCCAAGCGAAGCGCACGCTCGACGACCTTTTTTCGGTAAGCACTCCTGGCTGGGCCTCCGATCTGCTGCTACAGGGGCCTGTGCAGACGAGAAGTTTGCGCATTAAAATTAGCGGCCCCCGGGCGAACGAGATCGAACATGGACTTCTAGAACCCTGGCATTTATTGGCTGCTCCGCAGTACAAGAACTCGCGCCCCGCTGCTTGCTGACATTCCCACCGTTCCATTAATAGCCCCGCGGACCTCCGGTCCACTAACCCCACTCGCCCCTTAACTGCATGATGCCGCCTTTCCATCCGTTTCCCTCCGTCCGTCTCCGTCCCCTCTGCCCCCGCCCTAACCCCCGGTCAGTCTGCCCCCAACCCCAAGCCCACCCCCACCCCCCCGCACGCCTACCGCCTTTCCGTCTCGCCCCGCAGGTCGCAGGACTCGCAGCAGCAGCTGCTGCTGTCAGTGGCCTGTCGCGCTCGCAACTGTTGCTAATGTACGGGATGGTACTCGCGACCACTGTTGTCTACGCTTTTCAAGGCCTAGTCCGTTTACTTCTTGCGAAGAGAAGAGAAGAGAGCGCGAGAGAGATTCTTGGGGCCAGTGAAGAAGGCCACCGCTGGCTGATGATGATGATGAGGGCGGGGGCTCATTCGCTTGGCACCCTAGGCTGCAGATTGATCAATCAAGGCCTCATCCCATCCTCTCTTCACTGTAGCTTATCATGTGGCGCCCTCAGTTTGTTGCATGCTCTCCCTGCCTGCCTTCCTTGTAATTTGCTCGACCTGCATCGCAGTCGATGATTTGAAGGCCGAGCACGCTTCATCTGGACCGTGTGGATTCGGTCTGGCGCAGTTCGCTGCTGTGCCCCCCGTAGGAAGCTGGATGTACGATGCGGGTGCGTTAAATTTCTGTACCCCTGGGCTGGGCTCGCACCCCCCTTCCCACATGAGTCTCGCTTGCTTCCGCAGAGAAGATTGCAGCTAATTATAGGGAGCCGAGACATAGACACATCAGATGAGTAATCCGGATGATTCAGTTGCATTGTTTGTTTGCGCCATGCCCTAGCTCGCATTGGCTCCTTCCAGGACAAGATCCTCAATTTCAGCGCTACGTCCACTAGAACTTGCATCTGATCCTGCTCGCGAGACTGAATCTTTAGATTCCGAAGGCCATCAAGTGTCGTGGTCAAACATTCCAGCGCCAAACAGGTGGAGGCCAAATGCGCAGCCCATCGTGGTCACCTGTGGAAAAAAAAATTGGTATTGCGTAGCGGATACGGCCAACCAGGGGCAGAGGCAGAAACATCGGCAGCCGAAGCAGCAACATCGTAGGAGCGCACAGATCATGCTGTACTCTGTAAGGACTCCCGCCGATGACAGTCATGGGACGGGGATGTGGGGTTCGCCTACTGACTCGACTTCTTCTTCCAAGTATTGGGCTACTGGAGCGAGTGATGGTGTTAAGGAATCTTTAGGACATTCCGTCATCTGAGCTCAGACTTTCCATAAAGCTTGCAGTACCGAGATTCCTCATGGGGAACCCCCATAAACACGTCATGAAAAGAGATGATCGGAAACATTCATGGCCCTTGATTACGGAATCACATGTCGTAGTAATTTCGCCTACATGCATGCCCTTTCCCATTTTCTATCATTCCCTGCACTCCGGTACGTCTCAGTTTCTTCGCCTTGGGCACCCCGGGCGCACAACTCTCGCTCGTCCCGCGTGCATCCACACACTTGTACCGCCAAGCCTCGACACACCTGGCGCCTCAGTTGGTTGCTGTGAACTCATTTCATATTCCCTCCCCGTATGCTCGACCATATTCTCAATGACGTGTTCCGGGCTATCAATGTCAGCCTCCTCCCATCCCCAAATCTTGCAAGTGTATGCGCCCCCACATCCTCAGCTTTGTCCAGTCGTACTATGTCTCCACCACGGACCCGAATCAATGGTTCTCGTCCAGGAAACGCTCGAGTAATGCACGAGCCTACGAGCCAAGTTCATTCATGTATGATTCACCACTTCCTTCCTTCGTTGTTTATTTGCATGTAGAGGTGGAATATCTTCGAGGCCATAATGGCTATTTTAATTGGAACATACTCCCATGTTACTCGTTTGGCATTCCATCCTTTTGCTCCATTCCTTGATTCCCACAAGTCAGCGACCTCTGATTGCCAGCGTGCACTTTCCCGACTCGAGTGGCGACTCTTTCGTTCCAGATTTCGACGGAGCCGTAAATCGAATGAATGAATGAATGAATACCTCAGCCCTGACCACTTTTCTCGAGCACCTGATGCTCATAAGCAGTCAATCAACGCATCAATAAATGGCCTGCCACTCGCAGTCGGAATGTTTCTGCATCTTTCTTTCACGTTGGGAAAGGTCACAATCCGAGCCTTTCCGGATGTGGAGTTTCAGACGTCATACGCTCCTTTAAAATCTCGTAAAAACAACTCTATGACCGCAGAGTGTCGGAGTTCCCCAATTGGCATTGTTTGTAAACTCATGTATACCCAACCAAACTTGCTCTTGGTCCAAAGAATTTTTGTTTTGTTTTGTTTTTGGTAAACTCTCTATCTGGAATGTTTTTTAACATATAACTTTCACAGTGTTTTTCATGAGCCCCTGTTTTTGCGTCTTATGTCCTCCACCCTCCGTCTGATCTATTGACAATGTATTGAGTGCTTTTGAACTCCACAAACTGAATCTATAACTTATTTTAAAAGATGATTTTGCCTTATGCTAGCAATGGTCTGATTTGGATCTAGCCACGAATAATGAAGCAATGACACGAGGACATATGGTCAAGTATGGTTTTATATACCATATAAATATATATGGTATACCCATTTCTATATAAATATACCCATTTCTGTTTGGGTGGGTGGGTTGGAGGATATGCT